CACCTTCACCATCTTCGACCGACCGCAACCCCAGGACCCCTCTCCTCCCCCTCCCCCACCCTCCTTCACCACTCCTCTCTTTCGTCGTATTTCACTCTCTTTCGTTATATAATATTTTTAAACCATTTTTTTATATATTTGTAATATATTTGTACTCTAAAAAGTAAGTGATATCCGAAAAAGTCATATCATAAAAATGAAAGGTTCAAGCCATGTTCAAAAAAGAAGATACTCAAAAATTTAAACCTTTTTATCTAATAATAATATATTACCATGGAAAGTAACTGATATATTATTAATTAAAGGTTTAAATTTTTGAGTATCTTTTTTAAACATGGCTTGAACTTTTCATTTTTATGATATGATTTTTTTCGTTTATTTTATTGTTGTAGCGTTAATTGAGCGGATTTCCATACTTCAATGGTAGAATTCAATGATCTGACGTTCGAGAGCGCGGTGTTTTTATTGGCGTATTTTGATACCACGTGCTGCAATTCTATGCGGCGAAATTCGTATATCTTTCTTTTATACGTTTTTTTATCATGGATTTCTGAAAGTCTTTTCCAGACCGAGTATCACGCGGCTGTTTATAACGCGGAATCTCTTTGTTTATTTAAGTCTCTTTTTAAGAGGCACGTTTGCTGATGTTGGTCGGGGTATTAGTTCCATTGCAACTCACTATGACTTGTGAATGCATTCGGTTACATATATCTGCGCAGAGAAACGGTGGTTGCGGCGTTTTATATGAATTTCGTGCCATTTTTGTTAAATGATTGCAAAAATAGCTGATGGTGCTGGCGATGCTCTATTTAATGGATAGGGTGGTTTATGCGTATTATTTTATTTAATTAGCTTTTCTTTGTTAATTATTTGGTGCAGGCGCAGTGCGCGGGACGTTTGATTAGCTATATTAAGTGTTATCACTCATAAAAAACGGGGCGCGCTCCTTTACAATAAAAATACTAATTCTCGTAAAAAAAATATACAATTTTATATATTTTCGCTGTAAATTATTTAATTTTTACACATATTATTTATACAATTTTACATACATTTCTGTACTTAAAAGATGCATACTAAATGCTAGGATATACGCGCGTAAAGTATAGAAATGGACTGTAAATTCCTTGTTACTCCACATCTACGCGTTAAACCATATAATTAATCTTGAAATTCGACCGTGACTTCCTCTTCGAATACTCATCGACATTCCCATTTTACACCGTTATACGAGAGAGCTCTCTACGGAATCAGGGACTGCGTTTGAAACTCGTACGTTTCGAGTTTGCGACGTTTTATTTGCTCTTGCCCGCAATATTTCCAACAATCAAGCATACGGGCGCATCCCGCTACGTTTCCGGGAATTTTATTTGTACCACGTAAACGAACGAAGCCGTTGGTCCGCGAATTCGACGTTGATCGATCGCGCGCGTCAATTCCGTTCGCATTGACGGTGAATCGATGATGCGTTACACACTATCTCGGTGCCGAAACTTCCGTGACTTCATACGGATAATGCTCTTCCGTAATAAGCTCAGTCCTTTGTACTGTAAATCATTAATTGCAAATCTCTAGCTTATCATGCTAGATGAAGAAAATTCGTTTTTGATATACACTTACATACGTAAATACTTATACGTACTTATCATAATTAAAATTTAAAAGAATCTGTTCATGCATTGAAATGACAGAAATGGAAAAATTAATTGGATATCTGTGCAGATATCGGATCGTTTCCTTTCACCGCAAATTTCAGTCAAAACCAAGCCAGTATCAGTTAACATCAGCTGTCTGATTTTTAAGTGATAATTAATTAATGTGTTGATTCCACGCGTGAATGCGCGAGCAAATATTGAAAATTAATGCGCTATTAATCCGCTTACTGAGATAAACTAAAAGCTTAGGCAGAAATTATCGTGTATGTCTAATAGATGTGACTGAATAAATTAAAATTATCTGCTTGTCATTCATTCGCTTGTTATTTCCTTAGTTATATAGAAGTTTTGTCATAATGTTTTACTCAGAGATTTAAGTACAACTATACATATACTTGTTTATACAAAACATTGTATTACTTTATACTATATTAGAGATGTTTATCGCTATTTGATAATATCGCATAATTTTTTGCAGCTTGATATAAAAGTTCGAATAAAATATAATAAATAAAATATCGATTAGATATATATTTCTTATAACTATTTACGTATTTATATGTATATTCTTCATTTCCATAAATACTTTTAATTTTCAAAACTTTCTTCTTTGAAGGCCTATGTTTATATAGCTGTACAGATAAAAAGTTGCTCATGTAATAGCCACTGTATTGTTAAGGCTGCATGATATTTGATTAATCAGAACGATAAAAGTAAATATTTATCCTAATATATATTGATATAATTTTATACAATCTCTCTCTCTCAATCTTCAAAATCTATTTACTTACTTCTACTTTTTAAATCCACAAATTATAGACATTAATCCTTTCTAAAGTTGTGATTGATGAATCGTTTTGTATATGTATAATCGAAACTGTAATAAATACGAAATCTACACTACATAAAATATTAAAGATGGTTTTTTGTTTGTGAATTTTTATTAAAAAAATTGAGATTGTATATTATAACAATTACCATATGTACCAGATTTTTCATAGCAGTAATATTAAATGCATACACGTACATAATTGTGTGACTTGTGATAAAAAATATTGCAGGAATTATGCTAACATGTTTGTACAATATAACACATTTATTCTCTAAGCGGATATATGTGTGCTGGACAAGACACTTTTTAAAATAAAAAATCTGAAATGTATAGTTGAATTTATGAACATACACAGTTCGAGCACCGTATTGTTTACCGCATTCTGAATTGAGCACGATCGATGCATTTTGGCATTCATTATCTGGTTATGAGCTTTATTATAAATCAAATCAACGATTATATATAATGGCGTATTGATTATCGAAGAATTAGGTAACTCGTTTAATTGTAAGATCAAATCGCCTGTTAATACTGCAAATCGTGCACAATCGCGGGCAAGGATTGAAAAACAAGAAGGTATAGTTAACGAGAGCGTTATACAGAGCACCTTCGGCGATATTAGATTTTGGTAGAGTAACTCTAGTATATATACGCCATATCTAACAAAAACTTAATTTATTAAAACCCAGTTACACAACTTACGGTTAAGAGTTAACTGTAAGTTGTGGAATTGAGCCTAAGTAATTATTTACTTTGTTTAAGCTAAATGAACCAGGAAAAACTTTGTACTATCTACTATTATGAAAAAAGTATTA